CGTATACCTTAAGTTTTCAAAAGTATACATGGGCTTTAAAGAGAATAAATAAATCAATTGGTATGATATTATGTGTGTTTTTGTGAAATGACATATATGTTCAATGATGTGTATAAAAATGTTAAGTAAATATTCATACGATAAAAGGAATTAGTGATATAAATAAACTTGATATGATATTTTTGTGTCCTTGTGAAATGATTTATGTGATAGCATTGTATGATATGTTCATGCATGATTAAGTGATTAGAATTTCCTTTATAAGTTTAATGACTCACTAAGTCATCGACTTAGCGTGTGAATGTTTCCCACGTAGGTTTGGAAAACGAGAAGAGAAGTAAAGAGGATCAAGACAGGTCAGCATCTTCCTTACGAAGATCAGATCAGAAACATATTAAATATATGTATTTTGTTTTGTAGAATTTAGTTGGCATGTAGTTACAAGATTAGAATGGAGTATGCTCTTATTGGTTTTGTAAAACGATTTGATTGTATTTATTAATGTAAAGTACTCATTTTCTTAAATGATGAATTTAAGATTTGGTGGATTTGTAAAGAACAGAGTTTTGAAAAGTCAGTGTGAAACCTCGGACTCGGATCTGGGTCGGATATGGGTTGGGGTGTTTAGTGATTTTGGGTGAGAGCTTATTGTTTGCAAATACATTTGCCTTGTGAGGTTTTCTTTTGTTTACTAAATTTGCAATTACTCTTTGGGAAAGTGTGCATTTAAGGTTTTGGGGTATAAACCTTGAAGTGTTTGTAGGTTACACGTTATCCTTAAAGGTAACCAAATCTAGTGGATTTGAGAAATTATTAATGTGGAAGCTAAGGTAGTGGATGTATACATAGTTGAGAAGACGAACCACTCTAAATCGTTGTGCAAAAATTTTATTTTTCAATTGTTTCCACCAAATTCATTAAGAAGTCAATTCACCCCTTCTCTTGACATATTTCGGTTGATCAATATAGCTAAAAGTTTTGACACCTAAAAAATAAATTAAACCCATTTTTTAAAAAATATTTAACAATAAAAACTTTAAAACTCAATTTTCTCAATTGAAAAAAATCTTCATATAATTTTTAAATTTGATACCCAAAAATTAAATTTTCTAGCTTTACCCCTACAATCATGAGACCATCAAATACTCGAAGCATATAATAAATCATCTCACAAAGATAAAGAAATAGAACATAACAGAACATAACATACCCCATAGGTAGTTCTGTCGTACGACAACCTAATATACAGGCAGGGCCGGCCTTGGGCCAGGGTAGGAGGGGTGCCTACCCAGGGCTGACAAAATAAAAAAAAATTAGTATAATATTTTTTTTATTTTTCTGATAATAAATTAAAAAATTGTAAAATAAAATAGAGTAATCTATGAATTTAGTACATAAACTATTAGTTCTGATATGTTTTGGTACTTAAACTTTTAATTTTTTCAAAATCATATTTAATGTTTAGTTTTCATTTCATTTCATTTTAGTATCCATCGTTAAAAACTTAACGCATTTAGTACCTAACTATCAGTTTTGGTTTGTTTTAGTAACTAAAATTTCAAAAAAAATTAAAACTTAACGTTAAATTTTGAATGTGTACTAAAATAAAATAAAAAGACTAAAGTTTTTAACGGCAAGTACTAAAATGAAACAAAAACTAAACTTTATATGGTTTTGAAAAAATTGAAAGTTTAGGTACTAAAACAGACCAAAACTAATAATTTAGGTACTAAACACGTAATTTACTCAATAAAATAATGGGGCACATGAATTTATTAAGGTGTGAATTATCTTTATTGAATTTTATATTAACGTTAATAAATTGTTCTTCCATAAAATTCTAATTTAATATTTCTTTCTCAAAATTTAAAAAAAATCAATTGAACTCTTTAATTTTGGTCTTTCCAAATTCCCACTATCAATTCGCCAAATCTCTTTCCCGATTTTTCATATCAATAAAAAAATTATTAACATAATTTTTTTCAAAACTTAATGAGAAGAAAAAATTTAAGTATAATTAGCATGATTCTTTTCTCTTTCATGTTTCACGATTCATCTAGAAATTATTATTCTCATTTTTTAATTTATCATATTTATCTAACACGTAAATTCACAATTGTTTATTATCAATTATGGTGCTTGAATCATATTGAAGATTGTTCTTAAAATTCTAGGTATACCACATTTTAAAATTCTTTCTTTTAATTTTATATATTTTCAAATTCTAGATAACATCGTTCTTTTATTTTCAAATGTTATGTTATGTATTGAAAAAAAATATTGGAAAGCATTGATGTTGATACTATCATCATGGTTTTACATAAAAATGATCGAACGTAATATTTTTATAAGTATTTATATTCTTAAATATATTTTTTGACATATTTTATATTGTAATGAATTACTATTTTTTTAATTTAATAAAAAAATCTAATAAAATTTTTAAATTACATATTTCTTATTTTTTTATATTAGGGACCTATTTTTTATTTTCGCCCCAAGCCTAAAAATAGTCAGGACCGCCCCTATATATAGGTAAGGAAATGCGCTACAGAAAATGTCAATGTCAAAGAAAATAATAATAGATTATCAAAACAAAAATAAATAAATAGGTAAGTGACTAAATACATAAGTTAACCATAATTTGGGGCTTGGGCAGGTGCCCCTCATGTCGAAGCCCAACTACGATCATGCTCACAAATCAAACCAAAAAAGATGAATCATAAACCATCGATCTAACCATCTTCCTTCCCACTGTCTAAATCACTATAAACAACAACATTACCCGTTGTACATCAATATTGATACGATGAGTGTGGATCTTTCTCTCGCCAGAAATAATCGATTATATAGCATAAAAGCTCAAACATACACTTTTATTTTCAAGTTTTAATCGTTCCGATCTAAGGACGATATTAGCTCAAAGAGAAAAAGAAGATAATATGTCATTCCAGTCTAATTTCAGATGGAATGAGATGAATACAAATATCAGTAACTACATTATCTGTCATCCTGAGCAAAAAATATTAATAATTGATAATGAAAGTTATATTTGTGCCATTGTGATTTGTGTAAGTGCGAAACATTCTATCGTGTTAAACCCGAGTAATTGCCTTTTATAAATTATTTTAAAATATACACAAAATTTGGCATTACTCCATAAGTTAATAATTTATATTGAGATATAAACATTTAATCATGTAAACATAATTGCTTCTATTAACTAAAAAATATAATCATATTTAATTTAAAAAAATTAAAATACTTTGAACTAAAAAAATATTCGAATTTAAAAACCCAAACTAACCTAATTCGAGACACTCATATCGGCTAGATGATTGCCACGTTGCCAATAAAGTGGCAACTTTAACCAAATTTAGTTTCCAACACAAAATACCAACCTGTCATCTCTTACTTTAATCAAACTTGAATATGAAAAATAAATCTAATAAAGTTTGAATCTAAAAACTGGAATTTGAAATTGATCTAAATTAGAATTCAAATTTAATATTAAAAGTAACTAAAATGTACTTTAGTTTTTAATAAAAGCTTAATTACTAATTTATTATAATATTATTTACTAATTATATATATATAATAATAATAATATTTTTAAGGGTATACGATTATCATCGCGTATGAACACAGAGTTTTATAGTATTATATAGGTACCTAAATTTTTTTACTTATTTATTGTTTTAATTTTACAATTGTAGTTTATTAACATTATTTTAGTTTTAGATTTTAAATCAATGACACATTTGTTACCTTTTTTAATAGTGAATAATTAAAATAAAACGAAAACTAATTTTATATATAACTTTAAAAATAAATAAAAAACCGATCAAATAATTAAATAACTAAATATATAATTAACTCCAAATTTTTCAAATGAATCACACACTAACAAGTAGAACACAATTTGATCATCACGTGACCCAATTTATAATTTTGTACGTACATTGGGTGCGGCAAAAGTGGGTAGTTATATAGTGTTGTACTTATAATATATAATTAGAAAATTATTTAAAATATTATTATTTTTATCTAAGGTATTAATATTTTTTAATATTTTCAGTAAAATATCTAATAATAATAAAGGTGGTAAAAAATAACAAAACGGATAGTGTTTTATCATACCCAATAATAATGAAATCAATAAAAATAATAATTTTTTTTATTAATTTTATTATTTAAATAATAATAAAATCGATAATATTTTTTTTAATTATATATTAAAATTATCGTTGGTGATTATTTACCAATAAAAGTCATTACCATCGTGATTATTGGACCCCATGCCATCTTACGGCAAATATTTGCTGCAAAAAATACAGATTGTTGATACAAGAAAGCCACCTGTCAATATTACTGCTCCATGAAATAAAACACCGAAACAGCTCCACAGTCTACAGTCGACACCCGGCACTCTAGTCATTAAATAAGTAAAAGGACAAAAATAAAATGAAAAAGGCTCCAAGTTCAAGGCTGCCTGCCACGTGGATCCAGTTGTAAAATCAATTTTTTTGAAAAAAGGTAAAATGTTAAAGTTACCAGCTGTATAACGCCTTTGCTGTAAATGATGAAAATGCGGTTAAAAATGTGTTAGAAAAGATTAATTAGGAATAAGGATAGGTAATTAATTTTTAATATTCTTTCAGTCAAAGGTTGGGACTGACCCGAGTGACTGGTGTCACGTGACATAAAATCTCCTGATGCCAAGAATAAATCCTTTGGCTGACTCAGCCTTCGCCCTTCTCCTTGGATCTTCCTGTTTTCTGGGGACCACTTACACGTGTCAATATCTCAGGTTATCATATTATGCGGCGCCTCGTAAAACATCTCTCCGTCGCCGGGATTTTAAAATCGCCGATATAACCCATCCCGCCCTTTAGTAAAAACTAAAAAACCGAAAACTTTTTTTGTGTGTCTTGGCTGGCTTGGGTCCTATAAAATCGCTCAACTTTCCGTATTCACTTCAAAACTTGGCCTCATCTTCTTCTCCCCCGACTCACTTCTTATCTACCATAACCTCTTCCCCACTCTCTCCTTTAATTCTTGCTTTCCTTTGTTATCCCTCTGTCAGATTTTCCTGGAGAAATATCAGAGAGTAGTCTTTACCCTGTTAAGTGGCAGAAAATTTCTTCCTTTCCTTTTTGTTCTTCTGCAACTTTTGCCAACAAAAATTTCTCTTCTTTTTTCTTTTTCTCTCTCTCCGTACTACTTATTTTATCATATCTTTACTTGGAATTTATCTTCCTTTGATGAACTTTTGAGTATGCCTTTGAACCGATAAATGGTGGATTTCTCTCCATTTCAAGCTTCTATTTAACGTGTTCTTTCTTCAGTTTTTTTCCCTTTTTAACCCTTTATTCCCTCGTGTCTGTTTTAAAGGAATCTCTTCTTTTTCCCTTCCCCTTTTTATTTTACTCTCAATGATAAGTGGAAGAATCTGAAAACCCAGAGCGAAGATTGAGAGAAAAATGGATATTTGCCCTGTTCCTTCAATCAAATATGCAGAACCCAGCCATCAAACCATGCTCCTTCCACCATTGTTAAATAATAGACTCGGAAATCAGCCAGAAGTGAAGCCTCGAATCGTCCGGATAACAGTTACTGATGCTGACGCGACTGATTCCTCCAGCGATGAAGAAGAAAAACGAAGAACGCGAGTTTGTTCCCGGAAGAACAGAGTCAAGAAATTTGTTAACGAGATAACTATCGAGTCATCATGTCCCACTGAGAACGATATCGTTGGGAGAAGCAAGTCATCGTCTTCATTTTCAAGAGCTTCTCGAAAAAGGGCAGCGTCTGTTGCTGAGGCTAAAGGTATAGCGCCGGCGAGAGTACCATCGAGGAAGAAGTTCAGAGGGGTAAGGCAACGACCGTGGGGAAAATGGGCGGCTGAGATTAGAGACCCTATAAGACGTGTACGGCTTTGGTTAGTCACCTATGACACTGCCGAAGAGGCGGCAATTGTTTATGACAACGCGGCTATTCAGCTGCGTGGAGCAGACGCGCTCACCAACTTTTCGACTCCTCAACAAAAGTCGTCGGTTCGAGATAAAGCCAGCCAAAAACCGTTATCCAACTCAGATTACAACTCCGAGGAAGAATCTCATAAAACTGTTCCCAGTTCTCCGACTTCCGTTCTTCGCTGCCACTCGCTTTCGGCCTCCGAAGCCGACTTTCAAAGCGTCAAAGAATCGCGTGAAACCGGAAGCGAACTTCGAGATGTCGTCGACGATTCTTGCTGCATATCGGGAGATAACTTGTCATATTTCTCCGACTATTCCTCTTTGTTTCCCGGTGACATGTTTTGTTGGGTGCCGGATTTTTTGAAAGATGAGTTCGGGGACGGATTCTTGAACTCGTGCGGGGATTCCGAGTTTGGATTTGGTGGTTTACCCAGCTTCCAACACGTTGATGATCATTTCCAAGATATAGGGGATTTGTTCGGGTCGGATCCTCTGCTAGCTATTTGAGACTCTTTTTCTCTCGTGTAATACCCCTTTTTCGGTTAAGTTTTGCGTCGGCGGAACTGAAAATATCGAGATTTTGTCCGTGTTCTGATTTTATCAACGAAAGACCCTCCCTTCCGTCAATTGAATATTTAAATTTGAAAAACAATTTAAATCTGTTGGTGATTTTAAAAATTAATTTAAAGAATTAAACATATACTATATTAATTCTAAGCTCTGTTTTTAGAATAAAAAGTAAATTATTAACTATTTACAACGTTAATAATGAGAAGAAATAAAAATATTAAACATCTCCCTTCACAGTAATGGTGACGGACGACTGTAGCAACGTCTTCTTTGGTGTCTTCTATCTTCATGAGTTAGCTTTTTTGTTTTTCACACCTCAACTACACATATTTTATCTTAAAATAAAGCTATGCATATTTTAAAGTAAATTTAATTTAAAATGTTTTATATTAAATTATATTTCATATTATGTTTCAAAAAATAAATTATAAATAAAACATATAAAGATTCTTTCCAAATACAGGTAATTTTTAAGAACAGGTGTGATGATTTTTAGTGCACGTATAAAATTTTAAAGGACATAACATGGACAATATATACTGACATAAAATTTTGGAATTTAAAAAGAGTGAACACGTGCCGTAGAACGGGTCCGTGCACCTCTTCTTTTCTTTTTTTTCTTTTTTAAATTTAAAATAAAATAAAAGCGGCCATTCCCTTTCGGTTCTTGTTCAAATTTTAAAGCATGAAGTTAGCAGCTTTGTTTATGTAACGCCTCAAGGTAAGGGAGCAAAAGCTTTCTCTTGAAAAGGAGACGAAAGTCCTCGGAATTTAAAAATAATGGTATCATATACATCTTTTAAAAGTATATATATTAAAATACATTTTAATTGTTTAATTTATTCTTATCAAGCTCCTCAATAATCATAGTAGATAGAATAAAGAACCATAATTGTGGTTAATGATAAATATTACGAGGTTGAGTACAAGAGGATTCACCTTAAGCATTAATACACGTTAAAGAATAGTGTTTTGAAATTTAAAGACAGTAATATATATCTTTTAGACATATCCGTTAAGAAGATTATATCTCGTGATAAGAGAATTTCATATCTCAGAATGAAGTGTGTCATCAATTTCATAAAAAAAAAAAAGAGATAATGATGGTGTAGCATACATGGTAATGATGAATAGATAAAGAATAATTGGTAGATAATCTTAATGATGGCGTGTAACGAGGGTAAGAGAAGGATGAATAGATTATTCCCATATTTTAAAAAAAGGGAAATATCATAAAATTGAAGAATAATATTACACATCACATTATACATCTTTCGAAAAAAAATCTTATAACACTTAACTAGAGCTTATACAAATCAAACTTGTGATCTTCTGCAAGTTCTTGTCCAATTCCTCATCGCCACCCCCAATTCATTAAATCATAGTAGTGTTATGACATTCAGTAAATTAATTTTGAAATTAATTTCAAATTTTATTTTTGGGTTAAATATCAAAATTATATATAAACTTCAAATTAATATGTAATATGATACATAAATTTTAGTTCATTGTAATTATTCACATAAAACTTTAATTTTAGTTCGGTTATATAGATAACTTCTATTTTGAATAATTTATACACATTTTACAAAATGAATCAAAATAAGAATGGAAGAAGAAATGACAGATTGTGGGTGAGTGCGAATTTGAATTCGGTGTTTCCACGTTTCACCACCTTATCACACACAAATATATCAATATATGATGGGGACTCTGCCTCCCCCACTACTTGTCAATGATATCATTTTAAATATAATGATTGTTTTTATTGACCAATGGAGAGGTTGGGACATGAACCCAAAGCCAAAATTAGATATGCAGAGTTTAAACGACAGGAGGATTAGCAATTATTTATTGAAGTTTTGAGATGACAGATTTGTTATCAAATTCAAAGAATCTCAATCGGGGAGGCGGCTGCCGAGTTTGGAGCCTCCTCGTGGTTCATTTCAATTTCTTGGGGTCCCTTTCTGCTTAGTGTTGGTCAGTAGGATGAATTTAGCACATCAAATTTAGAATAAATTATAAATTTCATCACTCAACTCTCTTCATATTACTATTTTAGCCATTAAAGTTTAAAAGTTTTTAATTTTCTTATTAGATTTTTCATTTGTTCTTATTTTGGTTTACTCCGTCGTTAAATACTTAACGATGCTATGACTAGATACTTTTTTAAATGATGAAAAGTACCCAAAACCTTTTTCATTTTATGAAGAAAAAAACTCTTCGTTTTGAGTTCCCTTTGATTTCTCAATGATGAAGCATATTTTTCCAAATTCCAACGGCGCGAAGGTGGAAAAAGAGAAAGCAAGCTGTATATCTTGATTTCACGTTGATTCAATGGCGGATATTAAATAACAAGTTAGTTTTTTGGTTTCATTAGTTCTAGATTTGAGGTTGGATTTCATTAGTTTTAAAATGATTTAGCTATCTAAACTGATAGTGTGGTAGGAGACGATGAGACGATTTCGCAGATATCACAAGTGGTAAAAAAAGACGTTGAAGATCAATGACTGCAACACAAGTGAGACAAGAAAAAAATTGTAAAACTTTCAAAGAAAAATGTAGAAAGAAAGAAAACGAAAATAACATGGACGACATGGGGATGCCATGTCAACAAAAAAACAATCCATATTAGGACATACAACTTCCATGTCATCATTTTATTTATGATTTAACGCTCAAATGATCAAAATGAGAGTGAGTCAAAAGTTTAACAAGTAAATATCTTTTTTAGTTTTAGTGATCAAAACAAAAGTAAAAAGAAAATTAAGTGATGAAATTTATAATTTACCCTTAAACTTGACATCAGCTAAATTAGTTCATAATGTGGTCTTGGATTAACACATCAAATCATGGATTATAATAAAACATTTTCTGAAACTAGGCGTACGCTGTCCACCATGTACAAGTCAAAACAAATTATTAATACACAACAAAGAATGGCACAAGTAAAACGTATGTGATGAACCAGTTTTCGATGGTCTCATGAAAACGATGAAATGTCTGCCCATCAAAACGTGGTCCCTTGTTCAGTTGGAGCAGTACCAATGTCACAAGATTTTGGTGTATTATAACCCTAAAAATTTGCACCATGCCCTTAACCTCAATCCCATAACATATTGGCTAATCGTAGTCAAAAAGGCTGAAAATTTCATTAAATGAAAATTGTCCTTGTTCCAAAATAGCAACATTACTCTGCCTCATACCCGACTGCACACATGACAAATTCACTCTTAACTCCTGTTAGTGAAATAAAGTGGGTTATAGTATGTTGATTTATTTTTGATTTGAGTGAAAAATCGCAGTGGATAGTTATATGGGATTTGAATGGTGTTTAAATTTTCTGTTTTCATAAGGAGGGAGAGGGATATGAATCGAAAATGGTTCCAGATCTCTCTCTCGATTTTGGTTAAGAGATTTTATAATGACTTTTAATGTTAGTGTCAAATATAGAATCATGATGACTACTCGTAAGTTGGTAGGTCCAATAGATACGACTAATTGATAGCAGATTTTGATTCTAACATATCATGTGCATCTAGTAAAAGTCATAAAAAATCTTAAAATGTATAAGATATTTGAGATCTTATCTTTAAAGATGTTCTTCCACAAAAGAATTCTTCAAAAATATTAATACGAGAAGGATATACAAAAGTAGTACAACAATTCCCATAATTTATTTTTATTTGTTTTGTGACCTTGGTCTATGTAATTTTTTTAAAAAATTTCTTTATGGGTTTTGTAATACCGTTTGGCTAACAGTGTCGAAAGTTTGAAAGAAGCGGTTGGCCAGTTGGGGTTGTTTAAGGGAGTGACGAAACGTCATTTTCTGGTAGATCTTGGGCACTTAGAGGGTGTGGTAGATACGCAGGCTTTTATAATCATAGAGACATGAATCTTTTTTTACAGTGACAGTACTTATTGGGGGAAGGAGCCCTGCAACTAGGACTTTTCAGCTTTTAGCTATCCCAAATTGATTAATACAACAGTAAAAAGTAAAAAATCTAAAGCCATGGGACATATAATCTTGTGGGTATTTAATTTGTTTGGGACCGTCAGGATCATACATATTGCCTGATCTTTACACCACTACTGCCCCGCCCCCTTTGTTCCCCAATGAAGGTGAAATAAATTAAAAATAAATTTCTTAAATTCCGAAAACGACTTAAGACTTTCATATTGTTGGAATTGACCGCAGATGTAGATTTTTTTAATCGCAGAATTAAATTTTAAAATAGTTTAATTAAGTTTTAAGAATATTATATAAATTAATTTATAATAACCTAATATTTAGTTTAAGGGTGGATTTTTAGTTGGATCTTACGTAAAGTTTTCAAAATTTTTAGAGATTTAAATTGAAATATTCAAAATATTTAAAGGGTTTTAATTTATTTATTTTTTAAAAAATTAGAGTTTAATTAAAATTTGAGAAAGAAAAGGACAAAAGGCCAGTTTGAGTAGTTCTGTTGTCTCTTGGAGTGGTGATTGAAGCAAATAAGAGGGCAGCCACACAATGGAAGGGCACCAAATTCCAAAACTTTGGATATTCATTTTCATTCATTAGAGCGAGCTGAAAAGGAAAACAAGGCAGAAGATCTTGTATGTTATTCTGCAGGTTCAATTAAATCATGTTCGTACACGTATTGTTAGGTTAACGGTCTCCCAATCTCCTCGTTTCAGTGCAAGTGGTATCGGTCCAGCAGCTCCAACCCTGGTCCCCACCAAATTGATCCAGCTCAGCCATCACTGTTTTCATTGTTTTCTTACGCTCTCAAGCATACGGCAGTGATCTGGTCGTGGTCCCACGCTCCCGGCCATCCTTCCAATCCCATCCGCTTGATTCCGACCCTCCGTTTTGGATAAGCGGGTGCGGCTCATTCTGGAGATCCACGTAAGCAATTCTTACCCAACATTTATTTGCCTTCTTCATATTTCCCTTTTTGTCCCCTTAAAACAATAAAAGGGTGAAGTATAAATGTGGTCCCTCGACTATAATATTCTACTTCATTGAGTCTATTAACTATTAGAAATTTCAGAATGATCCCCTAACTATAGAGTATTATTTGTTGAGTCATCTTATTATTAATAATTACAAAATGATCACCTAACTATTTATATGTTCCAAACTCGTCATTTTTTGTTAAAATTTCAACAATCGTCTATGTTGAACGTTAACTTATTGATTGAGACATGATAAAATTATATTTTAATGATGTCTACTAGCATCGTCACTGCTTTTAAACATTAGCTTGACAATATAATATTTCATGTACTGACTCCATGACATAATATAAACGGAAAGTTGATCAAAAAAATACAGCTCAAACTATTCTGGGATCATATTTTATCATATCTTAGCCAATATGTTAAAGTCCAGCTCAGAAGACCACCAATTTTTTTACAGAATAGGATGATTTTGAAACATATGAGTAGTAGGGTGATCATTTTGTAACTTTTATTAGTCAAAGGATTTAACAAAACAATGTTCTATAGTCGGAGGACCATTTGGGTACTTTACCCAAAAATAAAATGACCTAAAAAAGTAGTATAGAATTTCAATGTTAAAACTCCAACCCTTTGACTTAAAACCCTTTATTATCGTTACGTGGTGGATTATTATACCAACAAATCATATGATTATTTGTATGCGAGTAAAATTAGTGATGTAAATACTACACGATAAAATTAAGTAGAAACGAACAAAGGTGAGGAGGGGGTCCCATGAAATATGCATGGGATATTTATTATCTTTGTTTGTAAAGAGAATATGTAGTGATGCAAAATGTTGGGAGAGGACCAAAAGGCAAGAGCAAGTTGAAGAGAGGGACATATAAAATGTTTGTGGGAGAAGCAGGTAGGGCCGTCTCGGCAGAGCAAGGGGATGTCTATTTCACCTACTGATATGAGTCCAAAGGCACTCAGATTCTATACGATACGATACGATATAGATACGAGATTTCCCTATAAAAACAAATATCTTCGAGTCAATCCCAGATTTAACCATTTCAAACACTTGGTCATACCAACGTATCCTATTCATATTATATATATTGTCAGGTCCAATAAATGTGGCTACATTTACGAAGTAGTAGCATATATCTCATGAATTGTCTTGAAGACACTTAGGTCACAATTATGAAGTGAATGGCAGTTACAAGCACCCTTTCTACTTGCTTTGCATTTCCACCGTCTTATCTATACCATAGAAATAATGGCTATCTCCATTTTCCCACACCTGCTGTGGCCCTATGCGTTCCCGATTCTAATTATAACACCAAGTAATTCTCTCTCTCCTTTTGCTTTTGGGCTTTATATACTTATTTCTGGTTTCATTTCTTAAATTCTACGTTTGGTTTCTTCTTAGGTACAGCTTGCTTGGTTGTTTCAATTCATTACAACTCAACTCTAAACCTCTTACGCCAAATAAACCCTACTCTCCCTAAACAAACCCACGAGATTTAAGTAGGAGCTCCGACAACGGTGCCACCACTTTCTACCGTGTTGCACCTCGTCCCAAAAATCTCAACTTTCACTATTTATTTTTATTTTAAAAAGTTTCTAATAAATTTAAAAATTCTGAAAATTGAACATTCCAAAATAATTTTTTTTTCAAAATAGTCAAATTTTAAAAACATGTACAACTTCAAGAAAATTAAGATGAGATTAAAAATTTTATGTCAAAACGCAACTTTAATCCTTGAAGGTGTTACAGAGTGCGTTTTAATAGACACTACATGTCAACCTTTTTTTAAACGATAACCATAAAAACTAATCTGATAAAAGTAATAATAAAATTATATCCTAATCTCAACTGAAAAAAGGAAAACTTGTTGGCATCCAAAATGAGAAAACTATTTTGTAATATTAAAGCCAAAACTACAATATACACAAGTTTAAAATTTACAGTGGTAAATTATCAGTTACAAAGAACATGCCAGAATGCTTCGTTACAACTCAATGAAGAATTCCCTAGAATCGAGTAAAACTATCAATTATACCTATAACCTATATATTATAAAAACTTATAAGGGCTGCACATTTGTTTCTAGGATCAATAGCAGAAATAAAGCCACATGCTAATATCGCACTCTCTCCGACAACCGAGATGGAAAACCTCTCCCACAGATATATCTCAATCTCGAATTCACATTCCCATATTTATGGTTTAGTTCTCTATCTCAAGAACCCAGAAGGCGTCATGACATTCCTGATTCTTACGCCTGTAAAAGTTTAGCTAGAATCTGGTTCTGGCCAATTTTGATAATCTGGAACCATGACTACACTTTGGCATAAGAATAAACTATGCATCAAAGCCATATCACAACGGGCCACCAAGCAGACTGAGTCATCCATGTAAGACATATTTGTCTGAACCCAGGATGGCCTCCAGATAGACTTGGGAACCCTCAGATTCCAAAATGAGGCCAGTAATTGATGATTCTCAACAATTAACTTCTCCTTAAACCATCTGCAATACTTTAATACATCCACTAGAATTTGTAGCAACAGCCATGCCTGATTTCCCTCTCCAGCAAACACTTGATACAAACTGTCCGTTGTCGTCATCAGTCTCTTTCCCAGAAATAGGATCAATGGACCCAAATTTATGTGACGTTATTGGCATAGGCATTGATTTATAGTACGCATACACCTGGACACAACATTTCAATAAGTTAATGAAGACGAAAGCAGATGATAATGCATTTGCTGAGCTATTTTAATCCCTCATTCCCTGCCTAAAAATAATGAAGACGACCCAGCTTAAGTTAATACCTCATTTGTTTCTGAACCACAAGCTATATAACCATCAGCAACGGATAATCCAACAAAATTCTGGAGAAGCAGATGAAAAGTCAAACCAACCCAAATGAACAAAAAGGCTTTGCCAGTCGAGATATATTAAGAACTTTCAAAACTATTTTTTCAGAAAATAAATGCCAACCTTCTCATTCGTATGTCCGTGGAAGGTTAAGCTGCAAGCACTAGTGGACAGGCCACCACTACTAGTTTTATTGAGGTCCCAAAGCTTTAATGTGTTGTCAGTGGAAGCAGTAACTACAGTTTCTGAGTCCAGGAATTTCACATAGCTCACAGCTTTATCATGACCACCGAGAACACACCAGGGGGTTCTGGCATTTCGAAGATCATAGCAATATATTTTGTAATCTGCAGATCCAAAAGCCAGTAAATGAGTGGAGTGAGCAGAAAACTGAACGCAGCAGACATTTGCAATGTTCCTGATGGTGCCCAAGCAGTTTTTCTACACCCAGAAAGGAGGGGGATGGAAAGGTTAATTTCATAAACTTGGGCAACTTTGAGTAGTGCTTTCAAGGCACCTTGAATGATGGCAGATCATTATATCTATCAAAAACAGTTTAAATTCGTTTCCCCACCTGCAGAACATGCATAAACAGACAAGGAAAGCTTCTTGTGATCTTTATCACTACTCTTAAGACAGTTTGATCAAATTCTATGGTATTTGCACACAAACAATGAAGATCCATAACAACTCTTCCTGTTAATGTCTTCAAATAATACACTAAGGTAAAAAAAGGGTTTACTAATGATCAACAAGAGCAGCGAGTTGGTAGACATTCTTGTACGAGCAATTTCTTTGATGTGTTAAAAGAAGCTATGTACAATCAAGAGACCAACGTGAATCTAACATCAGTGGGCTAAGCTTAGCCTGGGTTTGCAATCCAGCTTTGGCATTTATACTTGATCTACCAACTTGGATAAGTTTTCACAGAAAAATATGCACCTATTTCCTGCTATAAAAGCCATAAGAGACATAGGGACATACATCATTGATACTCCATAGTTTCACAGAACAGTCATCACTGCCACTAGCTAATTTTGTTGGATACACCTGAGAAAAGTCAACAGACCAGGCTCTCTTTTCATGTTCAATGTAATGTGAGATAGCTTGGCCGGTGCTTGCATCCCATAACTGAATCTCACCCACGCAAATGGAATCAATGAGCGATGCATGAATTTCATAAAAATTACTATAAAATGTAACTTTAACAGCAATAGCTTACGTCATATAAGGAAATGACTGAGCTGCATAAAAAGCACATAAAAAAGTGATAGTTTATTCCAGGAGCGAAGAATTTGGCATTTCAAATATATTGTGGCATAAAACCAAGCATACGATAAACTAAACCCACAACATTATTTTAAAAAATAAGACTTGTAGATCAATAAATAAATTCATTAGCAGTATGCATGTATAACATGTGGTTGAAAAAGGGAACCTCCAAACCATCAAGAACACCTAAACTTTGAACATGATTATAGATGGTGCAGGCATTCTCTTAAAGCCTATGATTCAAAATTATGTCTAACAATGCTTCGGATTAAACTTACTATCAGAAGTTAAATAAACATGTGATGGCAGCAATCAAGCTAATGTGAAGTAGTGTAGTTTGACACAGTACTACTCCAATTCCTTAGCTCCTAAACCCATAAGAACTGGAACAGTTTCATCCGTAAAGTGACAGATTTCTGTTTTTTGTCCAACTATGTTTTGCTCAGGAACAACCATTTACCTACAGGGCTATAATCAGCAGCATAAGGAAAAGTGACTAACTTCAGAATAGTTAAGAGGAAATATAAAAAGAAGATCCAAATTTATTAGTTCAACCAACTCCAAACTAAAGAGAATCAATGGAAATGTCATAAGAACTAATGCAAGGGAAGTTTTGAGGTACCAACAGGTAAGACACAAGCAGCTCCTGTCAAGTTGGTAATGAAAATGCCATGCAATTGTACCAGAGACATGACAAAGCTGCCATATGCATTCAGCGCATCACATTCATACAAAAAAAGGGCGTTCCTTAAACTAGAAAATCTCCCAAGTCTGGGAAAATATACAAACCTTAACCAGACCATCGTAATCAGTTGAAGCCAGATAGTTCTTGATATAGTTATTCCAGCAAACACAGCTAAGCTTTGATTTGTTTGACATCTCAATGACTGGGTAATGAACATCAACGGAGCAATTAAAGAGTGAATTAAATTCAAATATCTTTATCTTCTTAGAGACCCCAGCAGCAGCAAAATAATCCTCATCACGATCGAAACTTAAAGAACAGATTACATTTGCCGAGTTGTTAAACTCCCCACTTCTCATTATCCCACGAACTTCAAACTTGCTATATCGAGCATACTTACACACTCCATCAAAGAATGTTCCAAGGCTATCAGCAGGATTTGGTGATTCTTCATTGTTTTGCGCCAAAGGCAAATGGTCACGATTTTTCAGTATATCCTTATCTGACCGTCTCATAGAATCAGTCTCGTGAAAATGGACTCTCGATCTCATAGAAAAATAAGCAGCTTCAAGCTGATCGTTATTTCTCATTAACCTCATTTCATTGTCACTTGAAACTGGGTATAAACTAGAATGCATCTCTGAAATTGGAGATTCTTTACTAAGTTGCCTACATTCCATCGCATTAATGGAAGAATAAGTTGAAGGTTTTCTAGAAAAGTGCCTTCTTTTCTCAACCTCTTCAATATCTGCTTCTAAGCAAGTAATATGTTCCATTAATTTTGAGGCATGCTTCTGCTTTTGCTCTTTCGATAAACTAAGGAAATGCAGTAGTAGCTCTGATTCAGTATCATTTTGGTCAATGGATGAAGACAATTCTTCTGAAAATACTTCCTGGAATCCACCAAGTAGTTCAGATTGTAGCATATCCCTGATAAATATCAACAATCACAAACTTAGAATCCTATATTGAATTATAAATGGACATCATAGCCTTAACATTTACAAATCCATGCACATAGGAACAAGTTCATATTAACATAGCATTGATCTTTGAGACTAAGGATTATAATAATAAAGCAGGATATGGTTTCATCAACATACCATTACCTGGAATTCAATTCAATGCAGATTTCCAAGATGGGTCAGATATTGTGTGTTTTAACTACTGTATTTTTGTTTTTATAGTTGTTAATTTTCTAATCTTTTTTCTTTTCACCAATAATAAATGGAATATAATTCTCCAATCAGTTAATCATATGACTCACCGATGTTTTTTGAAAGATACCAAGGTTATTATAGAGATGTCAGTTTACAAAATATATCTATAATTATCAGTGTGATCACTAATGTATTTAAAATTTTATCCCACGCGCTAGCATTATTTATTTTTCAGATTCATTATATACACTATCATATATAAGATTCAAGAGCTTGTCATCTAGCACTGATAAAAAATTTGTAATACCTGGTAGTTGGACGAAAAGATAGTTCTGGGTGAAGTAGCCTAAGACAAAATCCAGCTTCTTTGAGATTTTCTGACAGAAAAGTTGGAGGAAAAATCCTATTACGTAGATCTAACATTGCCACAGCATGTGCTCTCTCAGATTCAAAATGACAAAGCAACTGAAAGAAACAATCAGATTACTTTTCAGAATGAACACATATTATCCAATCTCTTCATCACAGACCAAAAATAGATAAGAAAAAAATAAAGGAGATCAGCACAATTGGTTTATGTACCTCAAAAAGCAACACACCCAAACTGTATATATTTGATAAAATGGTGCAAGCACCTTCATTAGATTCCTCTGGACTAGCATACCACTTCTCTTCCAACTGCTCATTCACACAGATTAACTGATGCTTAGCTGACATAGAAGAATGAGAGCTCCCAGAATTGCTAAATTGTGTGTTTGGACAATGTTCACTAGATTCACTGCGAGAAAATTGGGTGATTATGGTTTCAATTTTGAGTTTAGATCTAGAAGGAAACAAAGGCCATTGAGTTAAGTTTCGGTTCTCATTGATCTTCTGCTTTTTAGCACAAAGACCAATTGAGGAACTCCCCTGTGTCATTGGCCTTCTCCTAGTCATGATGTTTTCTGAAGGGGGGGAATCTTTATCCAATACAGAATCCAGAGTACCTTTCTGGGCACCTGAACCAATATATTTAACCTGATTAGCTTGCAGCAACTTGAAGCAAGAAGGACGCAAATCATGCAATATAGCTCCTCGAGAGTGAGAATAATCAACCAGGTCCACAATTTGTCTAAATATATACAAGCGCTCAGCTTTGTTTGCTTTATGAGACTGAACTTTCAGCCATTCCCTCAAGTTTATCCCGTCTTGAACATGCTCACCAACCCTCGGCACTGTGTTCCCATTGGAAGAACTCACAACAGCTCTATTACCCAAGATTAGTGATGTACTAGAAGCCACCACTGGACTTCCAGCAGCCTTCACAGGAGGAATAGGCGCCACCATAGTTTGTCCAGTACATTTTGTATTATTTTGATGTCTAAGCTCAACTTTAGAGACATCGTGAGACAGACCTCTACATATAATACCCTTGCCTTTCAATGTAGTTTTAACGAAAAACTCAGAAAATCCTGATTTTGATAGAATCTTCGTCTTGATACCTCCACTAGATTGCCGACTGCCTGAAACCTCATTATTTTCACCACCCATCAATTGTTCTGTTGCTTCAGTCCGCCCATCACTCAAAGGTTTGTGGCCCAAAAATTCAGAAAAAGCTGCACAGCCTACTTCCGGTGGCATACTTGGCATTGCCCGACTGTTGTACTTGTTGCCACATGAACCCCCACTTCCTGATCCACCTACCAACTGATAAAGATGTTGCCACTGGCCTGCCTCATCTGCATTTTTTCTCTATTATTTGATGTACCAACGATGGGTATGTTAGAGCCATTATAATTTCTCAAAGTTAACTCTTCAACCATGTCATGGTCATCATTAAAAGTGCAAGGGCTAGTACACCCATGTTCCAACACATTCTTACCTTCCAACACATCCCCAATAGCATGGAATGAACTCTCAAGAGCATTAACCTCACCCGGTATCACCATTTCTTGGTACACCAACATATTGCAGTTGTCAGGTTTCACCAATTGGTCAACCTCTTTGCACTGAAGGTGAGCCCCTTCATCTGCATCCGTTCGAGTTACTTCTTCGGCTATTTCTTCATCCATACTTTAGATGCAAATTTCATCCCATGAAATATTCTTCAGTCGCAGCATATCACTTCCTACTTCCTAGTGAAACCATTATGATCATGTTTATAACTGTTATCACCAAAACAAAATCAGAGGTTAGTACCAATAGCATATAAGAAGTGCAGAGTTTGAATGGCCAATGGGCAAATAAGAAGTACACATATTAAGCAATTACCTTCTCTTTTGTCGAAATTGCGAACCAAAACGTCTAAGCACGGCTAAAAACACATACTAGAGCGTAAGCAAGTAATCAAATTCGCGAATTTCAAAACCTAAAGTAACACAAACCGCCCATAACTTCCAATAAAGCAAAGGTACCACCAATTTTTTTCCTTCTAATTAACGTTTCGGACCAATTTCCCAATTTCTTAAAACCTGATAACGTTTCTCTAAAATGCAGAAAATTAAATTAAAATTTCAAATTCTTAATTATTTGGTTATTCTCAACCAATTCCAAAAATCCACCCAGCGAAAACAACATTAAGTGAAGTTCATTTCATCACTTATTTTATTCTTTTCAAAGTCTAGATTATTTTTATCCTCCACCTTTTTTCGGGCAACCAAAAAGAAACTTAACCGAAATGGGGGGAGAAAAGAGAGAGAGAGAGAAAAGAAAAAACATACCGCATCAATTCTTGGAACTGAAAACTCAAAGAACTTGACCCGGCCAAGTGCAGAGCTCACAAACCGTGAAATACAAAAAGAGAAAGGCAAAAACTGGAAATCAAAATATTAAGAATCGTGAAACCCTAGAAATTTTAGAACCTTGAACAAATGGAGGTGAAGCAAAAAAGGTAAATAGATAAAGCAATTTTGCCTGAATTTTGAAAATTAATAATATCTTCGGTTAGAGAAGCAAGTTTTAAAAGTCACTGGAATTTGGCCCCGCCACGTCGGTGATCGACGGTTTTATCCATTTTGAATATATTTATTGTAAATACTAAAATGTTTAATACAAACCCAACCCAAGATATTATAAAATTTTAAAAGTTTTTAGGTCTAAAATATTCCTATTATTTATTTATGATTTAATTGCATTACATATCTTCAAAATATGATTTTTATTTTAAATTAGTCTATAAATTTTTAAATATTTTAATTTTATCCTTAAACTATGGTTATCATTTTAAATTAATCCTCAAACTTTTTAAAATTCAATTTTATCCCCAAATTATGACCCTCTTTCTAAATCAGTCCCCAAACTTTTTGAACATTTCAATTTCATCCCAAACTATAATCATATACTACTTGTTAATAAAATCGTTAGGCCAAGTTATATTATTACATGTTTGAAAAAAACAAATTTTAGGTTAAACTATGGTTAGAATTAATGACATATTTGGATGAAATTGGAATATTCAAAAGTTTAGAGACTAATTTAGAAAGAGGGTCATAAATTAGGTATGAAATTAGAATGGTCAAAGTTTAAGAGGACTAATTTAAAATGAGAATCATAGTTTGAAGATGAACTAATTTAAATAAGGGTTATAGTTTGAGAAGATATGATACAGATAACTCTATTTTTATTTATCCAGATTTGCCAACAGTAGATTTGTCCAAGGGCTGTGTGCTTCGGTCGAATCCCATTTTGAGATGCGAATAACTTTTTTTTCCAATCAAAGGAAGGTATGGATTGGTCTAAATATAATCGATTAATTAATTTTAAATATATATTTATTTAAAAATAATCTAAAATATTATAAATATTATAATAAAAATACTTTTTTTTTATTAATTTAACTAAAAAAAGGTCAGAGAAAAAGGTTAAATTTACTGACGATTATCGTTACTCGTGCCTGTCAATTTTCTAAATCATAAAGTAATCCCCGAAATTGTAAGAATTACTCATTTACCTCAAATAAATGAATTATTTTATATGTTGATCCTCGCCTGTCAAATTTGGCCTTCATTGCCTGCCTACTTAAACCTTTGAGTTACACTAAAAAGGGTATTTTTTGTCATGCCTATTCTTAGTTTTAAAAAGTTCAAATTAATTTAATTCTAGTTTTGATTCACGATTGTAAAGTATTGTATTCGTTTAAGTTTATTGGATCAGATAAGAATATTATAAATAATATATACTCTTTACGACATTCGGTTCTAAATAAACTCGAGACAACGTATTAATATTTTTTTAATAATGTACTGTTGTACCTTCTGACTATGTAAACCTATAATAAAGTTAAAGATAGCTTACTGATTTATTCACATAACGTATATTACGCAATGTTTTACATTTGAGAATATCAGAAGACAACAATATAAATAACTTTCATAATAATAATTGATTATATTTTTTTCACGTGCATAACGAAGCTAAAAAATTTAAATTAATTATATTTGAAAATTGTATTATTATTTTAAAAATAATAATATTAATTCTATTTTTAATATTTTCATATAAAATATAAATAATTTATTTTAAAAAATTTTAGAGTGTCAGCTGGCTCGACCAGTGTACGTCGTGTGTTCCACATGAAACATGAAAAAAAAGTTGAAGTGGGTATGTAATAGGATTTCCCTCCCTTTTTGCATGTGAGGTGGTGCTCTTATATATAAAGTGGCCATTGAATTTGATTAATGGGATTTTTAATAAGTTTCACCAGTGTTTATAGTATAAAATCATGACTATATAACAAAATTATATAGTAAAATGGATGGTGGATCTAGAAATGTTTTTTAGAATCAATACATATGTATTAATAATAGAAATATTTTGTATCAAGTGGACACCAATAAAATTTCAGGATTGACACAATCAGTAAAATAAATAACAAATATAAATAAAATTATATTTCAATGTAGGCACGTGTCCACCTTAAAATATTTCAATGGTACTGAGTACACAGATTCACAGTTCTTACACTTCTGTAAGGAGCACGGGATTAAGAGACATTTTACAGTGCGCAAGACACCACAACAGAATGCTGTTGCGGAACGGATGAACAGGTCGTTGAATGAAAGAGCCAGATGTTTGCGGTTGAATGCGGGGCTTCCCAAACACTTCTGGGTCGAGGCTGTTAACATGGCGTGTTATCTTATCAACATATCGCCAAGGGCATCATTGGCTGGGAAAGTTGCAGAAGAGGTATGGACTGGTCATGATGTTAGTTTTGATAACTTACAGATTTTTGGTTGTCCTGCTTATGTGCATGTACCTGCTGATGAGAGATCCAAACTTGATGCAAAATCGAAGGAGTGCATTTTTCTGGGTTACAAGAAAGGTGTCAAAGGATTCAAGTTCTGGGATCCAGTTGCGAAGAAACTTGTGATCAGTAGAGATGTTGTTTTTGATGAACAATCCATGTTGCAACAGAAGAAAGACACGACAGTGGTGGATTTCGAGCAGTTTCCAGTTGAGAAACCAGAAACTTCTCAACCGACTTCTGGTGGTTCCACTACGGATGATTTGTAGGATTATAGTCTCGCCAGAGATAGGGTGAGACGGACGAATATAAAGCCTCCGAGTAGATTGGGTTTTGAAGACTTGGTCTCTTTTGCACTTGTTGTTAGCAGTGATGATCCGGTTAATTTTCATGATGCTGTTACTAGTCAGGAAAACGACAAGTGGATGGCAGCCATGGTTGAGGAGATGGAGTCTTTGAATCACAATCGTACATGGGAGTTGGTTCGCCTTCCTGAGGGTAAAAAGCCGATTGGTTGCAAATGGGTGTATAAGAAGAAACTAACAGTAACAGAAAAAGAGGGGGAGAAGTTCAAGTTCAAGGCTCGTTTGGTAGCAAAGGGTTTTTCACAGCAGAAAGGAGTTGATTATGATGAATTTTTTTCTCATGTGGTCAGGCACACTTCAATCCGAGCAGTACTTGCATTGGTGGCCAGTTGGGATTTGCATTTAGAGCAGATGGATGTTAAAACTGCTTTTTTGCATGGTGATTTAGAGGAGTAGATCTACATGCGGCAACCTAAAGGTTTCACTCAACCTGGAAACGAGCATTTAGTTTGCAGATTGAAGAAATCTTTGTACGGGTTGAAACAGTCTCCAAGACAGTTGTATAAACGATTTGACTCCTATATGATCAAGATTGGCTACAACCGATGTGAGTATGATTGTTGTGTCTATGTTAAGAGCCTTAATGATGGTTCTTTTATTTTTCTATTACTGTATGTTGATGATATGTTGATTGCTGCGAAGAACATGGATGATGTTATCGGTTTGAAAACTTTATTGAGTCAGGAATTTGATATGAAAGATTTAGGTGCTGCAAAGAAAATTCTTGGAATGGAAATTTGCAGGGACAGAGACTCAAGGAGACTGTGGCTATCTCAACGGGGTTATGTTAAAAAAATGCTAGAAAGATTTACGATGAGCAGCGCAAAACCAGTTAGCACTCCATTGGTGAACCACTTTAATCTCTCATCAGAACAGTGCCCTAAGACAGATAAGGAAGCTGAAGATATGGCAAAGGTTCCGTATTCTAATGCTGTTGGCTGCTTGATGTATGCAATGGTATGTAATCGTCCTGATTTAGCTCATGCTGTTAGTCAAGTTTGTAAGTACATGTATAAACCTGGTAAGCAACATTGGGAAGCAGTCAAGTGGATCTTTCGATACTTAAAGGGTACTGTGGGACATGGAATTGTTTTTGGTAGTCAACGAGATAATCCTTTGGTTGTAGGATATGTGGATTCAGACTATGCATGTGACTTGGATAATAGAAGATCTACGACAGGGTATGTTTTTACTCTTGGTGGAGGACCTATTAGTTGGAAGTCTACTGTTCAATCTGTAGTGGCACTATCTACAACTGAAGCTGGGTACATGGCAGCGGCTGAAGCTGCAAAAGAAGCTTTATGGCTCACTGGTTTAGTGAAGGAGTTGGGTGTTCAGCAAGGTGGAGTTCAGCTGCTTTGCGACAATCAAGTTGCTATTCACTTAGCTAAGAATCAGGTATATCGTGCTAGAACTAAGCACATTGATGTACGTTTTCACAAGATCAGAGAGTTGGTTGCATCTAAAGAGATTTTGTTTCAGAAGGTACACACTGATGAGAATGCCGCTGATATGTTCACCAAGCCAGTTACGACAGACAAGTTCAAGCATTGTTTGGACTTGTTGAATGTTTCAAGTTGTTAAAGAACTAAGGTAACCCAACCCACATTGAATGTTTTCTAAGGGGCAGGATATTCGCCAAGATGGAGATTTGTAAGGTATGGCTCATAAATATACCGGTAAATAGGACAGGGGATGGAGCGGAGTGAGCGAAGTCTCGTAGAGGGGGTTACGATTATGTGGGTTGAGGGTGCGGGGGCTGCGCCCCCGCGGTACGGTACATGGTTAATTTTGTAATTATGTACCAGGGTTTTCTATTATAAATAGAGATGTAACCTAAACCTATGAGAATGGAATAAAATTTTCTAGCGCCGCCTAGGCACCAAGGACGTAAGCACATTGCCGAACCTCGTTAAAATTCTTGTGTTCTTTCGTTTACTTTGCCCGATTTATCAACAACATTTTTTTATTATTTTATATAGGTTATAGACAATAATTGTCACCCTGCTATGACTTGGCGATAAGTTCCAAGAAAGGTAAGCAACTGTCTGGCCAACAGTTCCAACAGCAGCCCAACATGCCAACTTTGTAGTCCCGAGTGGTCTTCTTTGGATCAACCAGTCTTTCAGAGTTTCATTCCCTTCACATGGTAAAATGCAGACTGAAAGCATGAATGCACGCCCAATTGCACTTGTTTCTTTTGTCACAGAGATATTCAACGCACTAAGTTCACAAGCAGTTCATGTTTCCCTCAACCATTTTGTATTGAGTGATTTTTCTAATTTATTTTATTTTATTTAAAAGATTTAATATTTTATTTCATTAAAACAGAAAGAACGTGTAATTGATTCATTGATGGATTTTTTTAATTAAATAGAGATGTGTATTATATTTTTATAATAAATACCAAATATACATAAAATAAGATAACTTAAACATTTTTAATCATTTGACCAATTAATAAATCTCCTCGTGGAACTTTTTGGATAATTTGATTTTTATTACCCAAAGAGCATAGAACTGCTACAAAAAACATTCAATGTTCAGAAATACAAGGATCACCCATAAAACAAAAGGCAATCAAAACAAAATTAGACTATACCCCATTGGTTACAAAGAGTAATGTTAACATTATCTAATCTAGGTATAAACCTGCCCCTAAGTTGGAACCCAACAATTTCTTTGATCTCACTGAACATGGCTTCAACAGTAGTGGCATGGGATTGAAAGAGCCTTCTATTTCTTTCTTTTCAGATAATGTAAATCAAAGCAGTAGAAGAAATTTTCATGATAGAAGTAAGGAGGGATTTACCCTTCCAGGTAGCAGCTGCCCATTCGAATAGATCATCCCAATTGGAGTGTCTAAATCGAAGACCATTGAGGGAGAAGATTGTAGTCCATAGTGCATTGGCAACGAACATTCTAAAAATAGATGATTTCTGGTTTCTATACTAGCATCACAAAGTAAGCAATTGCAGTCTTTAGCGATCCCCATTCGGTACAGTCTCTCTTTGGTAGGGAGCCATCCACGCAATGAGACTATGCTTGGGAATAAGAAGAGGAAACCATAGCAGGGAATGCCAATGAAATTTAGGATTCTTCACCCTAATGTCATTCCATAAATCTTTAACTTTCTTGGAAGTCAAAGGCATAACAAAGGAAGCTTCAGACCTGAGCTTCAGAATTTACTTTAAGCTCCAACTCATATTAGTTTTAACAGGAACATACCAGAAATCGTTGGAACATAACATATAGCTCTTTAACCATGCTACCCACAAAGATCCTTCACCAGCAAGGATATTCTTGATTAGGCTCATCATGCAAGCTTTGTTCCATATTTTCAAGTCTTTGAGTCCCAGACCACCCTCTGTTTTAGGCCGGCAGATTTGTTTCCAACTCACTCTTGCACCAGCAGCTGGTTTATCAGCCCCTTTCCAAAAGAACCTAGAACATAATTGATCAATTTTTTTTCAAGACAGAGAAGGGGAGGAAAAGTTACCTGCACCAGTAATTAGTAATACTAAATAAAACAGCTCGAACAAGCTCTAATCTTTCAGTATAACTCAGGGTCTTACCAGACCAAAGATGCAACCGAGATTTGATGGCATCAATAAGGGAAGAACAATCGTTTTCAATTATTTTCCTAATAACCAGAGGAATGCCCAAATACCTTATTGGCAACCTGCCAATTTTGAATCCAGTAATCAGACTTAGATCCTCAAGTGTTGAAATAGGAATATCAGCAGAAAAAAGATCACATTGTGAAGCATTTAATTTCAGTCCAGAAATTTCATAAAAAGCATCAAGAACAGATTTAACCCCAATGATAGAGTCCACAGTGCCATTGCAGAAGATTAGTAAATCATCAGCAAATGAGAGATGGGTAAGGCCAATGCGCTTACATTTGGGATGATAACTAAAAGCTTACATTTGGGATGATAACTAAACAGACCTTTTGTTGCTGGCAAGTTCAAAAGATTGGAAAGAACGTTCATAGAGAGAAGAAATAAGAATGGGGAAAGAGTGTCCCCTTGCCTTACACCCCTTGCTCCTCTAAAATACCCAATCGGACTTCCATTTAAAGAAACTGAAAAGCTAGCAATCATGAAGCAAGTTTCAATCCATGAAATAAAAATAGGAGGAAGACCAATAGCCTTTAAAACAACATAGATAAATCCCCAATTAATAGAATTAAAGGCTTTATGGAGGTCACTTTTCATAACAGAACGAGGAGATAAATGCTTTCTGTTGTACCCTCTCACTAATTCCTGGGCCAGCAGGGAGTTATCAACAATGAATCGCCCCTTAACAAAAGTTGTTTGATTGAGGGTGATGAGATTTGGAATTAATTTAGAGAGTCTATTGACCAGAATTTTGGAAATAGCTTTATAAACAACAGTACAACAAAAGATTGGTCTAAAATCTTTGACCTTACTAGGATTAGGAATCTTAGGAATCAAAGCTATAGCAGTAGCATTGAAAGCTAAAAGAATGAAGGATTCCTAAAAAAATTGTTTAATGGAAGCAGAGATATCATCACCAATGATAACCCAAGATTGTTTAAAAAAGAGAGGGGAGTAGCCATTAGGGTCAGGGGCTTTATCATTACCTTGAGAGAAAAAATCCATCTTTAATTTCATTCATGGTAATATCTTTGATAAGATTAACAACAATATCAGTAGGGATAGAAGTATGAAGCAGGTCACTGAGCAAGTTTAGATCAATACCTTTAACCATTGGGTCAGAAGAGCCCAGCATATTAGAGAAAAATTTAATAATTTCAGATGACATAGCATCGAAAGATTCCAGCCTGTTCCCTTGGTCATCAATCAACAGCCTAATGGTGTCTCTTTTATTTTTTAGGGCAACTGCAGAGTGAAAAAATTTAGAACAATTATCCCCTTCTTTGAGCCACTAAATTTTAGCTTTTTGCTTCAAGAACATAGCTTCAACATCCTTCAGAAATTTAAGATCCTTATGTAAAGGGATTTCTAAGTCATAACAAACTTCTCCTTTAAGAGTTTTAAGCTGTTGTTGATCCAGTTCAACTCTTTTAGAAATAACCCGAGAAGATAGCTCACTAAAGAAAGAATTATTGAGAGCTTTAAGGTGAGTTTTGAGGCGATTAAGCTTAGAAAAAAGAATATGCATAGGATTGCCATTGACAGGGGTAAGCCAAGATTGTTCAACCAGAGTTAGGAAGTTTAGGTGAAGAGTCCAAAAGTTAAAAAAACTTAAAGGGCTTAGGTCTATTGGCTTGCATCTCTTTATGAGTCCAGAGAAGAGCAAGGCAGTGGTCAGAAATGCCAGGTGCCAGAAACTCAACATGGGATGATTGAAAAGAACTGATCCAAATTTGGTTAACAAGGACCCTATCCAGTTTCCTTGCAAGGAAAGCATTCTTCTGTTTATTACTCCATGTAAAAGATGGGCCAAAATAGGGATGGTCAAAAAGTTCAAGGTCATAAAGAGTTTCCTGAAAATCACTCATATCAGAGGAAGATGAAGAACCCAGCAGATCAAAGTCAGAATATTCATTAGAGTTCAGGATGATGTTAAAATCACCACCTATGACCCAAGGTAAATGGCAAAGATTTCTATCTAAATCCCTTAGTTGCTGCCAAAGAAGCCTTCTTTCTCTACCATCATTACTACCATATACAACAGTAATAACAAAAGGAAAACCAGAATGAAAACTTTAAATAGATAAACATTGTTTAAAAGCATGACAGAAGGTGAAGTGAATTCCTTTTTTACTTAAGATCCAGATTCGGTCATTATGCGCAAAACCATAATTGGTAAATGTATTCCAATTAGAAAATTTATTGTTGAGAATAGTCAGAGATTTGGCATATTTCACTCTTGTTTCAAGCAGACAGATAACATCAACTTTATTTAAATTAGCTCTTCTGATGACAGAAGATTATTTTTGAGGACAATTCAGTTTTCTGATATTCCAGAAGGCATAAATCATTGAGAGGAGGAATCAAGGGCACCTCCACTACCTCCTACCTCAACATTTTTTTGCTTTAACTAAAGAATCTTTCTTTTTTCATCTTCAATTCATTAACAATTCTGACAACTCCTAAAGAAGCTGGCCTAGTTTTCCTTTGTTGACTATCAGGAACAACTGAAGAATCTTCCTCAATACTTAGAACCTCAAATCTATTGTTTGATGCAGATAAGGATAATTTAGATTTGTTTTTGACTGGTCTATCCCTCCCTCTTTTAGGCTGAGATGAAGTTAAACTCACAAAAAGAGCAGCAATAGATTCAGATTGTAACATATTTATTTCATCCTTAGGAACATTACTAACAACATCAGAATTGTTAGTATTGACAACTGAAACCTCTATATTCGATACAATAGGCTCAAACACAGAGACAGTAGGAGCTTTTGAGGAGTCTTATTCTAAGATAGGAATAGTAGGCTTAGACTCTTGTAAAAATTCGATGCCTCCTACAACTGGTTCAGGGAAAGATTAAGAGTTTCTTTCTTTTTCCAGATTTGTTGTTTAGAAGGAGCTTGAATTTTCTGAACATGATAGTTATTATCGCTATGGCCAAATACACAACATTTTTTACAGTTAGAGGGAAGCCAAGGTATCTCAACAACTAGTGAGGAGGTTTTTTCATCTTTAAGGACCACTTTCACGTATTGGGGAATAATATCTTTAACCCTAATCTCGATACAGACTTTCACGAATTTCATATAAGATTTAGCAGCAGTTACAGAGTCCATAGTAAGGGGAGAGCCTATGGCACTAGCAATGTAACTCAGACCAGATCTAGAGAAGAGTTCTAAGGGAACGTTGAAAAGGTGAACCCAGACGGGAATGCGGAACAAATCAAATTGCAATCTATTCAAGTTTGGTTCCCATCTTCTGAGAATTAGGGGCTTATTCAGTATATGCCAGGGGCCATTTTCAAGAATCCAATCCCTAATAACTTCAGACTTAAAGGAAAAAAATGCAAAGGTTATTCCCAGTGAAGCTTACCTAGACTTTACTGCCACCAAGAGCCTTCCTCCAGAGATTATCGACAATGTGTTGCATTGCAACAAAGTTAGGGGCAGCGCCGAGGAATTGGTCAATAAGTGATTGCTTCCACTCTTCAATCCCAACTTTAAGAGGAGGATGAACAGAAATAATCTCTTCGCTAACCCTAGGCGGATGGAATTCCAAGCCAAGACCCTCAGAGCATCCAAAAAGCTTTCTCCAGTCCATCGAAGGTCACCAATGAAGGAAGATAACCAGAAAATCGAACAGAGCAGAGGGGACACTGAAAGAAAATACCGAGACTGGAAGATTGTACGCCGGAGACATGATCGAGTTTTCAGGATTCATTAGCCTTGCTAACGTGCACCCAGAGGAAAACCTTATTGTGCGTCATTCAGATACTTCCTCGTGGAACTTTGATAATGATATAACTTTTTTTTTTTTTAACTCTCTCTTCTTCACCATTTGAAGGCAGTTTCATAAACCTCATTCTTATTAAATACAAAACCAATTAGCCAAATGAAAATTCAATAATTCGGTTTAATTAGCCTTTAATTAAAAAGAATTAAAACAAGCTTCGAAGTGATACCATAGAAAAATTATAAATTTTTTGGCGATTAAAGTTTAAAATGTGTAATATTTAATTTTAATTAAATTACTAATTTTTGAGAAGGGACGAAAATACTTAATTTCAATTTTATTAAGGTTAAAATATACTTTGAGCACATGCATTCTTTGTATATTTAAATTTATCCCTTTATTTTATTTTTAGGATTTTTTTTTCGAATTAAAAAAAAATATAATACCAAACACGATATAAACTCTTCTACCAAATTCAGATCCATTATAATGCAATTTTTGTGTTGAATGATTGCCAAGTTTATTATTTTTATTTTAAATTATCACATTAATGCACTTAATAGAAGAATTTCTTACGGTAGTTGAGTTTGAATTTTTAAATTTGATAATAGAATAATGGAATTTCCTAAAATAAAAATAAAAAGATCAAATGGGTACACTATACGAAAGGTTTCTTATGTTTTTTGTATGTTCGATTTTAGTTATCGGTTAAAAAAATAATTTTGATCCCTTACATTATCAATTCATTTGATTTTGACCCCACGACTGTTAACTCTTATTAACACATTAACAAGTCTAAATTGATAATTTAAAAAGAAAAAAGTTCACGTGTCCTCCTTATTGTCTTTCTTCTTTAGATCCACTTTAAATCCTCGAGTTTTTCCTAATAACATGCTACACTTGGTTCACATAGCGTCGTTTGCGTACATAGCATTACCGAAGATATTTTCTGTTCCAACAAGGCATTGGTGACAAGCTTTGATAATAACACATGTGATTAGGCGGTGTAGATTAAGAAACCAAAGATTAATGATTGTAGAGATTAATATCATAAACAAAGGTTGATTTCGACGGTGAGGATATAATCGAGTTCACTCCGACTAAAGTACAAGTCTAGTCGGAGATTATATCAGCGCACCATTGTTGTTCATTTTCATTTTTTTTCTTATATAATAACATAAGATATTAATGTTTCATTTTTGATGCTGTAATAACATAAGAGATTATATAAGGTGTATGGTTTCTGTTTAGCTTTCTGTCATTTCATTTGTATTACAAAAACACTGAATTATTTCTCTAATTCTGTTTATGTTAATGTGGTAAGATCATGTATTCGAACCTTTCCCCCAACAAATCCTTGAAACTGTACGAGTTCATAATAATGGTAACGGGGGTGATGATAGTTCTTTCTCAGATGTCAACATTCCATTCCCTCAGACATCTCAATTTTGCTTCTATGGTTCTCAGCTTGGTCTACACATTCCTTTTCGTTGGCTGGTTGCTGCTTGTATCCACGTAGGTGCACAAAATCATTGAACTTTCAATCCTTATATGTAACCTTGTCATTCAATGCTGGACCCAAGGTGGCCTTATAGTTAGATGAACAGACTTTAATATTTAATTCCAGTTTTTTTATATGTTTAAAGCTTAAACAGGATTTAGATTGTGTTGAAAATGTGGGTTAAAGTGTTATGGAACCATTTTCGGACTTTAAACAACTTCTGTTGGTGCTGCAGGTCTATCTGAAAACGCCCCTCAAAGAGACTATTCATTGGAATCTAAAAGTTCATCAAGGATGTTCATTGCCTTCACTTCTATCTCCATAATAGCTGCCATTTTTGGGAATGAGATTCTTCCCGAAATACAAGTAAACTTCACATTCTTACATAAACCTTCATATGCTTCTTGGTTTTGGTTTCAATAAGATTGTCTTTTGATACAGGCAATAATGGCTCCACCTGCTACAGGTAAGATGATGAAAGGACTCCTGTTAGGTATGACTCATAAATATACCGAGAAAATGTCGTAGTGGAGGTTACGATTATGTGGGTTGGGGTGCGATATGGTATAGGGTTATTTTTATTAATATGTACCAGGGTTTATTTATTATAAAAGAAGATGTAACCTAAATCTATGAGACATTGAATTGAATTGAATAAAAACTCTGGCGCCACCTAAGGCACCGAGGACGTAAGCACATTGCTGAACCTCGTTAAAATTATTGCGTTCTTTCCGTTTTCTTTACCCGATTATTCAACAATTGGTATCAGATGTCAGGAGCTAAATTTGAAGTTACGAAATTCGATGGTCAGGGTAACTTCGGATTATGGAAAACAAGGGTGAAGGATCTCTTGGTGCAGTAAGGGATCTTGAAGGCTT